ACCCCGGCACCCTCCGTGTCATCTGCTGGCCTCGGCAGCAACAAACGCAAAAACTTCGTGCCCAAGGCATTCGGTGGCAACAGCACCGTGGCGACGACTGCCGCCGCCTCCGCCGCCGCCAGACCTGGCTCGCCTCCCAGCGACTTTTCCTATAACCTTGTTATCGACGAGCGATCTTCGGCATTGTCTACTCCCGGTAAGCAGGCTGACTTTCTTCTCTCTTCTTTTTAGCTGTCTTTCCGCATCAGTTGACACGTAGTTTCGCACTTCCGCGGTTTTTTTTCTTGGCATTTAAAAAAATGTTTTTTTTGGGTCAGAGCCGATGCGGTGTTCGCAGTAAGAGCATCGAAATTGCCGACGACTTACTTTTTATTTTAATCCTCAAGATCACCCTCCAGTTTTGCTAGACCTCATTGTACAGGGAAATCCTGGAAAAGGCAATAGCTAAGAACACAGAAGGAGGTTGGTTGACATCAGATTTGCTTCGTTAAAAAAGTCCACCGCTTTTCCTTTCGAGTATTTCCGCAAAACAAATGCTAATGTTCTTCGGATGAAAATTTTGATGCCCCTGAATAAACAAACAAACGGTTTCGAAGCCTAGAAAAACAGGTAAATAGATGAAGCTTTCAGAACCCACAGTGGTATTCCTTCTTAAGTACAAATTTACAATCTATGGAGGAGGTACTGTAATCACGAATAACAGAGATCAGCAGGTAAATGATTGAAACATTGACAAGAAGAAATATAATATAGGTGAAAGTAAAATGGATGAAAGGAAACGGAAGCCATAGAAAATGAAAAATGACAACGATGAACAAAAAAGGAAATAAACGAAAAAGAAAAGAAAATAAATAAAAGAAGATTCCATAGTAAAACCAAATATTGACGATGGAATTCTAACTGTATGAAAGATCTTTGAACCTGAATTCTTCGTTGACACAGGCTGCAGGAAATGCTTAATGAAGGCGTATTCTCATATGACGATGCCATATATGTTAATTGTGCCGTTGCTGTCACGGTCTGTCGTCCTTTCGTCTTGAGCCTTACGTCCTTCCTATCGATTCGGTGTAGATTGTCAATAACATGTTTCACAATAGCAGAAGTTTTTTCGTGTCCTTGTAATGAGTTTTCATACGTCCTAATGTTAATCTTCCGACATTCCCTTTACAGTCTGTTTGGTAAACGGCGCAATATTTGACCATTCTTTATTTATTATCATTAATAACCTGTTTGCGTCTTTTCGAACTAAATCAAATGCAGAGCGCATCTGATTACTCACCGTAATCATAATCGAATTACGTCAGAAGCCTCATGAAATTTCTGGCCAGTATATGTAGCACTCATCGGGGGAGCTAGTGACTGTCCTGACAAAGAATCTTATTGAAAACAACTGTTACAGCACATCTCTCCTGACCGATGCAGCTCATCGTTTATATCAGTGCCATAAAGCGCGCCCGTCGATAAATTGCTCTCCATCGTGTTATGTGTTGTGCAGAATCTAAATCCTTGAAATATCGTACTCTATTCCTCCGCGGGGGTGGTTGCACAGCGGTAAAGAGGTCGGCTTTTAAATCTGAAAGTGCCGGCTTGAGTCCTCAGAAAAGGCAAAATCTCTTTTAATCGCTAATTCCTTGGGAATTATACGATTTTAATTCACGTTGTTTTGGTGCTGCCAACCGAGAAACGGCTAGCAAACAAATAGCTGACTTGCGAACAACATGGATTAAATAATATTCTGGTGTGGTCATGCGAGAACAGATTAGAAGTACGCCCGCTTGCTGTCGCTGCACATCACTTTGACATACTGTAAACTGACTTTTCACTGTAATAATCAGCACAGGGTGTAACCCGCCCACCTCCCCTCCCCGTTGAAGGAGGAAAGCAAACGTTGTTTCAAGTCATGGCACATTGGAATTCACTTTCAGTTTAAATTGCTTAAGTTTTTGAGGGATTGATAGCATGTCATAGGAGTTCTTTCTTTTCTTTCATCTTAAAATCCCTGAAGTCGATAAGTTCATCGAACAGGGATCGGATTCGCAGCAGCTGTTTCCAACTCTGGGAACAGACGTATGCTCAGAACGGCGTAGAGAAGTGCGGACTTTACCAAGTTTTCAATACCACCGGTTGTTGCGTCGAATTTTCAAGCTGTTTCTCCTGATTCATCAGCGTGTTCAATCAGTCAGTCAAATCTCTTTGCTTCAACGAAGATGGATGTTACCATCGCATAAATGTCAGATGGTCAATTCTTTCTGTACCAGAGCTTGTCGACTATTAAGCAGCTTTTGCTGTCTCAGCAAGCAAGTGCGTTCAAGTCCTCCTAAATTTGATGAGTCCTATTTACAACTTATACGGAAATGAAAAAGAGATTCCTTGTATTCGTGTAGCTTTTTCAGTAATGTAATTTGTGAGGTTTGCGTTTGATCTTTTCACTGCGTAGAATGAATGGATACTGAAGAATGAATGAATACATGAATCAAATAGTAAATATGTGAATGGCTGTGAGGAATGGATGAATGAATAGATTAATGAATAGGGAAATCACGAATCGGTGAATGAACGAATCGAAGAATGAATAAGTGACCTAAGTAATGAATGAATCAATGAATCACACTTGTCAGCGATAACAGAAACAAAATCCAATCTGTACAAAGCCCACTTATGGAGGTATAAAAGAGTAAAGACAAAGCTTGAACAGATGAGTATTAATTTTCAGCGGCTAGGTTATCACATGTCGCTCATGCTGATCATCGATTTTCTCCAGCTTGACTTGTGGGTCCTTGACAGCTGAGAGTTGCTGTGCATACAATTACTTGCTAATGGACTAAGTTTGTTAGAGCTTTTATGAGATAGAATTAAGTAAGATTTATTCACTAAATTATATATGACATAACCGGTGCTACAAGTTGTAATTTATTATGCGGTTTATGATATTATTATCGAATTTGACTGAAAAATTATTACTGCATAAGATTAATATACTGTGCTTTATTTATTCTTTAAGAAGCTGATTAATTAAAAGCTTCAGGACTCTGTCTATTGAAGATGCAACCATAAACCGTTTATTACTTAGAATAATAATAAATAATAGGAATTAAATTGGATACTTATTAAATACAGAAGGTTTACAGTATGCTTTAGTTGCGTAGCAATTACGGGAGTTAGCTGTTAAGACATCAAGAAAAAGAAAACTGAGAAAACGTGGTTAGATCGACGTGATGTTTTGAGAGATTAGGCTATATTTTAAGTCTGCTACTTTATTTTCTTCACCAGATGGTAAAACTATATCATATATCTTCGTATCGTCAGTCTATCTTTTTGAAACCCTTG